ATGATCAGGCTCACGCTTTCGAACATTCCAATTTGAGAATAGCATTTGAAATCTGAATTGAAGCTTTCCTCAACGCTGCAAATGTTGTGATTCTTCCCGGAAAAAAAATGTACTTTCAAAACCTCCTGAGTCCATCGCGACCGATTGATAGTTTTCCATCTGTAGAAGAGGAACCCACACCGAAGTACCCGGGTCTGACTTCTTCCAGCCCGTCCTATCTGGAATCATGACCGGTCGCACGGCTGCTCATATGTATTTCTGGTGTCTCATACGTTTTTTCTGTTTTTCTCAAATTATAAACCGATGGACTCCGGAGGTTTTGACCCTACACGATTCAAATGGATATGCTGATGAATAGAATTAGGACCACCGCCTTCCTGAAGGAAATCGATGAGCCGCGTCTGAAGGCGGCCCTTTCACAAATGACCAGGAGGGAGGTGAAACCAGGAGAAATCATCATGAGACAGGGAAATCAAGCTGATCTACCAGCACATAGCGAACGGCGATATCGCAAACTGGATCGTGAGATCCCACATGTCGTCGAAATTCATAACCCCAGCAGCACCATGGGTTGGCGGATTTTGGGAAAGAATGGTGGGGGCCACTAAGCGATGTCTCTACCGGGTAATCGGGAGTTCAAAACCTTACCTCAGAGACCTGGAGGTTATTCTGTGCGGTGTGGAGTCAATCATCAACCAGAGACCATTAACTCCGGCGACGATTGATCCGAGCGAGATCAAAGCGCTGTCACCGGCGATGTACGGTTATGAGGGGAATACAGTCGAACCCGCTTATAAGAAAACCGGTTAAAAGAGAAAACCGGATATAAGAGACCGATCCCGATTCCCCGATTTTTTCTCCATAGGGTTTCAGGTTAAAAACCTCGCTTATAAGAAACTCGGATATAAGAGAAAACCGGATATAAGAGACAATTTTCGAACCCCGGCCCCATAGAGTTCCATGTTGGAGACTTCGTATATAAGGGAGGACCGTCTCAAGCAGAATTTCTGTTTGCTCTTCCATGACTCCTCTTCCTCTCGGAACCTGCGCGAATGAGATAACACGCGCAGATCCACGGTTCGATATGATCATTGCTCCGAAAATGATCGTCTCTTCACTGGATCTTCACAGGCATCCAAGTCATACGAGAACGAGATGTTTCAAGTCTTTTCGTCGAAAAACCGTACCTCGGATACTAGAGAAACCGGATATAAGAGACCATTTTCGATTCCCCGAGAAGTCTCTTTTAAGCGGGTTCGACTGTACATTTTTTCCGGAAATGTCATTCGAGCCGAAGCGGAAAGCAGACATAGGAGCGGTTGTGTTCTCCAAGCGATGGAGTTTCCAGCAACAAATTCTGACGGATTTCTGGAAGACATTCCGCACAGAATACCTAACCCATTTACGATCGGCTCACAGCAGGAAACCGGTGAACCAACGATCATCGAGAGTCGGTGAGATTTGCATTTTAAAGAACGACGAATCCTCCCGCGGTTTCTGGCCGCTGGTGAGAATCCTCAGAATGCACGGAGGTTTTTCTTTTCTTTCGATATGGATATTCCCTGAATCGCATTCAAGCGGCAGAGATGGAGAGATGGACGTAGTCCGAATGTGTCGGAATCCAGCTCTCCTTTCCTGATTACATCAATAGAACCGCGAAGGGTGTCATAACATTTTGTTTCTTCCCTTACTTTCGGTTGTCCATGAGACAGGCTTACTATCTCTTTCCCATGAAGAAAAAACTTCTGTTTATCTCTGGGGTCATTCAATTTAATTTTCTTCTGTAGAAGAGTCTATTGTGCCTTTCTATCATGACCGTGAAGGTTGTCTGGCTTTTCCAGAGGCTTCTTCTTCTACTTGGAGTGTTCAGCTGTATTGCTTGTTCAATACTGCTAATCTGTGAACTTCTCCGATCTCCTAAAGACATTGAGGATAGCCTTCCTTATCAGGAAAATTTCGAGTTTGTGACCAACGAGGATGTGTTTCCCCTGGTTCCGGACGTTCTCGAGGAGGAAGCGTACACACACTTCTCTGAACCTTTCGAGACGTATGCTGATTACGTTCAATCAAATTCAGCATCTTCTCTTCAAGAGGAATCATCAAGTTACTCCTCCCATCCAGTGTCTTCTGTGAGCTCCGCTTCGCTGGTTCCGGATACTCCACTCAATACTACTGATAGCCGAATTAGTCTGGATCAGTCTGCTAGCCTGACTCCAGTTCTCCCATCTAGTGTTCCAACAGAAAACGGATCAGTTTCTCTCGACGAGATCTCCCCTTCTCGAACAGTTGAGATTTATCCTCCCTCGGTCTCTAGTTCTTCTCGGAGGACATTGTACATATACCGATATATATTGAGAGATCTATACGAAAATTGTCCGAAAAATCCGGGAGCGCGTCCATTGGCTTGGGACTTGGCTCGAATTCCACGGCAAACTGGTGCCTGGAGAACTACATCCGAGAAGTCATTCCGAGCGACTTCGAAGTCAGCTTGAACTACTCCCGGGTGGCTCGATTCTTCGGGGCGGAAAGATTCGCCGTGAACAGTTTCGTAAGCAGCGATCAGACTGAGTTTGACTTTATTAGACGACGGCTGCTAGAGTTGGCCTCGGAAGGAATCGGAATCATTCGAGCGATCGATATGAGATCGCAATTTGGGGCTCTTGCAGGTTCGTTTAGAAGTGAAGTGGGAGTCAGCGTATTCGTTCTCGAGTCAAGAACCTTTCCTCGCCTTTGTCCATCCGGGTCTGGCTTCGAGTTTCGCCTTTGTTGTGAACCCTCACACGAAACATTTCAAAACCCTGAACGTCGATCCTAGTCCATTGTGAGATGTCGGCAATCGAGAACAGTAGCCCGATTCTCTCAAGATCCCCGCACATTCCGATGATCCCGATTTCAGTGATACATGTTAAATCGGTGTCTGGTGATTTCGGCGCAGATTGACTAGGGCGCATGGTCGATCACGGCGCATTTCTCATTTGAGCGCTTGGTTGATTTTATCGCGCTCGGTTTATTTCAGCGCAATTGATTCGAGCGCAGTTGACTTTAGCGCGATTGATCCTAGCGCGAAAAATTTGGGCGCAAATGATTTGGGCTACTACAGTCCACTTACTTAGGTTTATAGCTGAGTAATTTTTTTTTTTGCCTCAAAGTCCTCTTTCCGCGCATGATTCAGGTAATTTGCGTCGCGCATGGACTCCACCGAGTAAGCAACCAAATTCGCACGGAGTTCCGTAGGGTCGATAGACTGGTCGCCAGTATGAAAGCGCTTGGCGCTTTCATAAACGTGGTCCTACTTGGGGAGCTCATGATTGTGCGCGTAAATCAATCATGCGCTCAAATCAATCATGCGCTCGAATCAATCATGAGCTCAAATCGACCGTGCGCTCAGATCAATCATGCGCCCAAATCAACCGAGCACTCGAATCAATCACGCGCCGAAAACAATTTCGCTGAAATCAATTCCGCTCAATTCGATCGTGCTGAGATCGATTGCGCTCGGATCGATTGCGCCCAAATCGTCGATGCGCTCAGATCAATACTGCGCTCAATTCAACTTCGCGCTCTGATCGACCGTGCGCCCTAGTCAATCTGCGCCGAAAAAGATGGACTACAGACACGGGGTCCTCTCCCTCGAATTTTTCCAAGACCACGATGGTATGGTTCAGGACAGGCGTTTGCTTACAAAGCGCTACGAGTTTCGTTCATGCTCTATTATCTGGAGTTCGAGTCAAACACGTAATTCCGGGGGGGTCGACGGCAGTATTCACGAAATTCTACCGATACGGGTGCCAGATTGCTCCGATTTGACCTATGCCGAGGATGACTCCAATTCTGTATGTCACAAATGGCGTGAAGACGAACAATACTTATCCCGGGAAGCTTCTCATCACGTATCGGAATATCGGTTGCAATGTTCACCGAAGGGAATCCCTCGAAGGGCGAGCGGTCTTCAAGCAAATCTGCAGGCAAGTAATCCCGGGAACGACCGAGAATCGTCGACATCCGATTCGTAGATCGATGGATTCCCATGACTGAGATTCGGTTGTCCCTCCGGCAGATCTTGTATTTGTATTTCGTGGCATGAAGAGCATATATTGGCTGACTGAAGTGATGGAACGCCCTAACGCAGTTGCATGCTCGCGACCGGAGGGAGGCTAATCAATGATCAGAGAGTCTCCGTGAGAACGAGGCGATACCTGCAGTTCGCATCACGGCAAATGGAGTATGTCTTCCACGTCTTCTGCAAGGTGCAGGTCGGGCCGAATGCGACGCGCGAGATGCCTCGTGCTCATACGGATGTGCACGAACGCCATCGTTCGCATCAGGTGGTGATTCGATGAGAAAAACGGTGCGTGAATGTTCGGAACGATCGGAAGTTGTTTTCAAGTGATCTTCGGTACTGCGCGCCCGGAAGCTCAACGAAGATGCCGAAGCACAAGTCCTCTGTCAGATCTCGGGTGGAGTCATACGTGAAAGACTACGGAGATGACATATTCTCCACAGATGGTCAAGTCCTCTTTTGCAAAGTCTGCGAAAGAGAGGTCTCGACGCTTAAAAAGTTCCTGGTAGAGCAACATTTGAAGGGAGCGAGACACAAGTCCCTATCGAAGAGGAAGAAACAGACGAACTCGCTCAATGTCTCACAACTGATTCCTTATTTGGAAGCATCAAGCAAGCAATCGACGCACAGTGTGGCCAAACCCGATTTTAGGCGGCAGAAATTGAAAAGGAAAAATTTTGAAAATTTATGTCGTGGCGTCTTGGAGGAAGTATGGGGACCTCGGAAACACACACCAATCAGAAACCAAGCACTTGTATCTCTGTGGAGAGACTCTGGAAAGAGGAAGTTTTTTTTCTTCGGACTGTCACCTTTTTCTCCCGATTCGTGCTGACGCTCGAGTTTCCGTAAAATCGATTCAGGATGGAGCAAACACCGAATCATGAGTAAGATTGAGTCTGAAACTCCACGTTTAGCGTTTCATTCGACGAGAATATGCAAAATGGAAGAACTCGCAACCGGTACGGAATCCCGTCGACACATTACTCAACCCGCTCGGATACAGTCATTCCGGAAGAGTATCATGTGTATGAAAGCTCTCCCGGGAACTTCGAACGATTTCTCCTCGGAGATAGCGGATCCGACGATCCGAACCGGATCCTGATATTCGGAAGAGAGAGCACGAATGCTTGGATCGGAGAGGTATCGAAAATCTACGTTGATGGCACCTTCAGTTTGGCACCAGAACTTTTCTGCCAGATCCTCGTCATCCTCGGAGAGCGTCCGCGGGTCGTGACTCCTATATGTTACGTTCTCTTGCCGAGTAAAACTGAAGAGAGGTATCGCAAGGTGAGTCGCTCATCATTCGGGGAGGTTATTGTCATTGTCATTGTATGGGCCACGGGAAGGTCGATTGTGTACTAGAATAATTACTCGAACCCTCCATTTCTCATTCAAGATGCTCGACATGTTGACCTTGGGTTGGCCGAACTTCAATCCGGGAGCCATATCGATGGACTACGAAAAAGCTCTAATAAACGCTTTCAGTGCGTATTTCCCGACAGCCGAGATACACGGTTGTTTTTTCCATCTCGTACAGAATATGAAAAAGCAACTCGCTGCCGATGGTTCGAGCAGCAGGTATCGGAGCGAAGCAGATTTCGCGCTCAAAGCTAAAATGATCTCCGCACTGGCTCTCATCCCGCCGGAGCGTCTTGAAGATGCGCTGAGGGAGTTGCGGGAAGAGCTGCCTCATGATCTGCAGACGATCCTCGATTATTTCGAGGATAATTACATCGGACGTCTACAAGTGAGGAGCGATGGATCTTTGGGACGCCGGGAACCCTTGTTCCCGGTGTCTATATGGACTGTCTACAGGAGAACCTTGAATGGCGATTCTCGAACGAACAACTTCGCTGAAGCAGCGCATCGAAGCCTGCAGCGACAATTCCAGGTTCAGCATCCTGGTCTCCTAAAATTCATCGAAGGAATCAGAATCGTTCAGAAAACAAAAGACGCTGATCTGGAAAGATATACCGCCGGGCATGAAATCACAGGGAAGCGAAACAAATACGTGGAGAACGATCGCCGCATCTTGAGAATCCTCGAAAGGATGGATGACCGTTTGTTGCGGGAGATTCTTCGTGGGATAGCTCATACTTATCAAATGAATCCCTAGATAACGTAACCTTCGAAGTCAGCAATGTTTTATTGAATTAATTTCCAGACTCTGATTCATTCCACTATGGCTACCACGCTATTCTACAGTTGTAGCTCTAGGTGTGGCCCGTGGTAGGTGGCCATGGTACCCATGACGGCCGCAGCATTGCCCCTCTGGACAACTAAGGAAAAACGCTGCAAGAGGTACTCGCTGGATCGCCTGCAACCGGTCGCCTCCTCCACCAGCTGTCCTGAGTAGTGATCTCGTGGCTGGTCGCGGCCCGCCCAGGGTTTCGAAAGCCAGGGCTGCGACTAAGTAATTGACGCTCAGCTCGCTGTACTTCTGGAGCTTGAGAGCCTCCGCTCTGGCGCCTGCAGAGCCCGCCGATAGGCTCCCGGCGTCGACATATGAATTGGCTAGAGTGTCGACAACCGTTCCGTCCCATACAAGGGCCTTTCCTCTCTCGAAGGGCACGAGTGTCATGCCATCGGGTCTCTTGCCATCCTTGCGGCTCAGTCCTTGGGGTTCCCTCAGATTAGGTATCTGAGCGGTGCGATGAGCCCGACTGAACGTCTCGTTAATTTGGGAGTGGCGAGACCACCTTCCGGCGCTCATTCTGCAGGACAGCCCGTGCGTGCCGGTTGCGTCAGCAGGATCCCCGCACGAGCAGGTGTGGAGGGTGACGATTTTAGCTCCGAGGCGGAGGCCCGCGCAGATTCGCACCGTGCCGTTGTCGAGAAGGGTCCCAAGGCTCGCGGATGGCAGGCAGTGCAACCACGCGCTGGCACCGGGGCTGGATACAGCCAGGAGTCTAGCTCGGTCCCTGTTCGAAGTCATGCGGCTCCGCAGATCGGACATTCGTTCAAGGCCAAGAACCGCATCCCACTCTCTCTGCACCCGTTTCTTCTCTGGAGCTGTTCTCCCGTTGGTACAGAATCGAACAACTAGGGCTGCCTGCGTCGCGGAGAAGGAGGAGAAAGCTTGCTCGGATGGCAAGTCCTTGACCATATTCTCCGTAGAGTGGACCGAGGACAGTATGCACGGGGTGGCGAGGTCCAGTACGGAGCGGACGCCCAACCCCCCCAATCGAATCGGCAACCTTGCTTGTTGTTGGCATGAACTGCTGAGGTCAATGTTGAGTATCTTCTCAAGGGCAACATTGTACATGTCATCGGTTTGCTCAAGCAGCTCGTTCTCTTGCTGGGTGTCGGCGCATCGAAGAACGTGGAGGAAGCGAGCGCTAGAGAGGGACGATCGAAGGAGGAAGAGAGCCTCGTGGGAGCCGAGTAGAGCAAGCCTGTCAACCATGAGGCGAGTCTTGGCTAGTTTGGCCTCCAGAGTTGCTGCCGTGGCCTCCGGGAACACCGGAGCCCCCAGGAGCTCGAGGTCGTTTCTCTGGACTATCCGACACGCCGGAAGGAAGCTTCGAACGGAATACACCGCCCGCTCTCTATCCCTCTCGTTGAGGAGATCTACGAAGACCTCGCATTTCTCAGGATTCAGACGAAGGCCGCTAACCCCCTCAAACTCGATAGCCCTACGGACGTCCGAAAGCACACAACCCAATGGCCCCGCCACTGTTCCGTCGTCGAGGTACCAGAGGTTCAGGGGTGCGGAGAGTGAGTCAATTAGATCCTTCAGGCCCAGGCAAAATATAGCAGGTCCGAGGGGGTCTCTCTGCTGGACCCCTGTGGCGGATAAGATGTCAGAATCGTCGTAGAGTAAATGGCTAGGCGAAGCATATGCGCCATGAATAATGTGGTGGAGGTCGGGGACGAGCTCGGCGGTTCTCCGGATCATGTAATCGCGGCGAAGAGTGTTAAAAGCATTAGCGAAATCGAGCTTCACCAGCACTGGAGAGCCCGTAGAACTCTCGAGGAAAGCACGGCACGAGTGGACGGCAGCCTCCAACCCGCCGGGCCGACCGACTCCCAGCTATCTTGGCCCTAAAGCGGAGCAGATCGTGCCGAGGTTCTGCTTGGCGGCGACCTTAGCCGCAAGGCGGCGGAAAGTTAGGGAGCAGGCGATCGAGCGCGGAGATCCATCCTTCTTTCGTTAGGCTATCAGCGATGCCCCGAAAACAATTGGACACATTGAGAAGGGAACTCTCCCTCCGCGAAGAAGATCCACGAAGCGGGCGATTGCCCTCTTGAGTCTCATCGCCGACTCGCCGAGGGCGGACGCAGTAAGGTCCTTCAAGTGACGCGGTCGGAGCCCGTCGGGACCCGCCGAGGAGCTTGTCCGGAAAGATTCAATGCAAAGCTCGAGCTCTTCAACCGCTGTCTGACCCTGCCAAGTCTCCGATGGAGCAGGCGGCAATGCGGCGTCGGCAGGCCCATGTGGATGTCGCTTTCTCATTCGTCGAGTGGAGTCCGCGGACCTGGGCGCAAAGGAATCCTGTGACAGCAGTGCCCGCACCGCTCCGGTCTCATCCCCCTCCGCGAGTTTCCTCGAAGTCCGTTTGGCTGCCTGTGCGTCTGTGGAAATCGGACCTCTTGAGCGCGTGCGAGCACCGAGTGTGTATTCAAAGCGGGCACCGGATCTGTAGGCTCCAATGTTCCGGCGAATTATCTTCGGCCAAGAGTCGCCGGGTGCCTTCTTGGGAGGCATTTGCAGAACGACCGGAGCGAAAGGCAACAGAGCTCTCCAAGAGGCGTCGTCATTGAGACGCAGACAGCCTGAAGCACACCGCAGAGCTCGTCAGCAACCAGGTGGCAAACCGCCTTCGGAATGATGTTCACGATTTTTACTCGTTCGCGACATAACCTTTGAATTTGAGTGACCTCCACCAGGTAGTGCAAAAGAGAGGTCTTATCTAGATAAGATCCCGCTGAGCGTAAGCAAACGCCAACTAAGCTCGTATCGAGCATCACTTGTGAGAACCAGAAAGCTCCACCCAAGATACATGATGTAAATATGATACATGCACTAACCGAGTCAAAATTCTACTTCGAGTAAATTACCCAAATTGACGTTCGATTTCGAATTTCGAGCGATCGCTCCCTCCGATGACGTTCACCCCCTCGAAGCCTCCGAAGTGAGGTCGATCGTGGCCCAGTTTACGCCGTGGCCCAGTTGACGCCGTGGCTCAGTCGACGCCGCGGCCCAGTTGACGCCACGGCCCGGTTGACGTCGTGGCCCAGTTGACGCCGAGGCCCAGTTGGCGTGCACCGAAGGTTTTCACTCGGCGCGTCTTCAACTCGTGAAGTCTTCAGTCTCTGGACATCAATCATGGCAAGTCTTAGAGCCAAGGAAGTCAAATCCGAGGGTGATCAGGTAGCGGAAGAGCTTGAGAGCCTTACGCTGGAGGACGATGAGGGCATTCAACGGGTGACCGAACATTTGAGCGCAAGTAAGTTTGAGCGCAGCGTAAATTTGAGCGCAAAGCAAATCTGAGCGCAGCGTAAATTTGAGCGCGGCGTAAATTTGAGCGCAAAGTAAGTCTGAGCGCAGCGTAAATCTTAGCGCTCGTGAATTTGAGCGCAGCATCAATTTGAGCGCAAAGTAAATCTGAGCGCATCGTGAATTTGAGCGCACGTGGATTTGAGCGCGGAGCTGATTGCAGCACAGAGCGCGATCAACTTGACAGAGATGGCATTTCATCGGAAATTCCCGGGAATTAATGACATGCCCGGGGACCGTGTCCAGAAAACCACGTATTCCCGAGCGAAGCATGCGGGTGGGGAAGGTTAGGTTAGGTTCCAGACGGGGTAGGCATGACATTGTGAGGCGGACTAAACCTAAGTTAGGGTGCGATGTGGGGCTACTTGGGTTAGGACGCGAAGCGGCCTAACCAAAGTTAGACCCACACGGCGCACGAACTTAAGTTCATAGCCGAGCCACACCTGGGAGACAGCGCCACGGAGAAGATTTTTTGGTAACCTGAAAATTCGCTTGGCATTCTTCGCGCTCAAAAAACCTCCGCGCTAAAATCACCTCTACGCTCAACTTTACCTCGCGCTCACATACACTTTGCGCTCAAATTCACCTGCGCTCAAATTTACGCTGCGCTCAGATTTGCTTTGCGCTCAAATTTGCGCCGCGTTCCAACCTACGCTGCGCTCAAATTTACGCTGCGCTCAGATTTGCTTCGCGCTCAAATTTACGCCGCGCTCCAACCTACGCTGCGCTCAACTTTTCGTGCGCTCAAGTTACATAGCACCGTTCGCACGTTTAAGGACCGGTTGTCGGTCCTGGTTCTAGAAGGTCAGTCGTCTATACCCGATTTTCTCCCGAGGATCGCCTTCTCTATGAATACGACACACAATGAATCGTTGCGCAAGACGCCATTCGAATTGCTTTTCGGGTTCACCGCGGTTTTGCCGGGGAAACCCCCGAGGCTCCCAGTTCAATCGCCTCCGGTGCAGGAGTTGCGACGGGAGGCACATGGGTGTCTCGCGAAGGTTCAAGAGGGTATGAAGACTTGCTATGACGCAGCCAGGTTGCCGCCACGCACATGGCCTGTTGGAGCGAGGATGCTGGTTAGGCTGAAAAAGGTTCGTCGAGGATTGTCAAAGAAACTCCATCCTACTTTCGTGGGTCCCTGGACAATCGTCAGGCAGGTCGCGATGCAGAGTTACGAGCTCCGAGATCCAGGTGGCCGTCTTAGAATGCTGAATGTGAAAGACCTCCGGCCGTTCCAGACGAGGGCGTCTGGGACCGGTAGCGTGCCCGATTGAAGCGATGCCAGCGCCCTCCACTATATATATGGGGGCTGGGAATAAATCGGGACATCATTCTGTCCCTCCGTTATCAGATCGTAACAATATTCTGACTTTTTCTAGGGCATGAAAGTCCGAGCCCTACTTATGGCATTCATGTATCGGTCTCAACGGTACAGCGATGCCTCCGGGAGGCGAACCTTATCGGGCCCATGCGCGAAAAAAACCTTTGGTATCAAAGAAGAACATCGCGAAGCGGTTGGCCTTCTGCCGACTCCATAAATAAGACTTCAATTGGAGCAGAGTTTTGTTCTCCGACGAATCCAAATTCAATTTGTTCGCATCGGATGGTTGCCG